GTATCTCTAAATACGTCTTAAAACTGTCACAGATTAGTGACTAAATGCAACATAGTACCTGAATTGGATCCCAGAAGAGAGAAAATGAAATTGGTAAAATGAATGAAACCTGAATAAGGTCTGTGGTTTAGTTAACAATAATATACCAATGTTAACTTTTTAGTTTTAACATGTGTATTGTCACTATTTAAGACATTATTTCTAGGGGTAGCTGGATGAGGGAATGTAAGGATTCTCTGAAATCTTCATACATGTATGTAAATTAACCTAATTCCAAAATTAAAAAAAAATAAATGCATGTGCAATGCTGCTTCTATTTATGGTGGACTATACAATAAGAGTGAATACTCTTAATGATAACAACAAGACAAACTGAATAAATGTACAAAAACATCTGTTTAAAGACATGTGAGAGCGATCAAGAGGGTGAAGAATAACCTTCTCAACATCAAGGACAGAAATGATGTCCAGACAGGTGATTGGTACATTGTGACAGCTTTTGTTCTGTGGGCATTTTCCTGTCCAGAGACATGGCTGAGAGACTGAGCAGCACTTTTGACAGCCCTACTGTATTAGGAGGAGAAAAGTTGGATTCCAGGACTGTATGGGTGGGACTTTGGTAATTCTCACACACACTGGCTTGGACTCCAAAGACGGGCAGCATGGTAATGAGCATACACTGGAATTAAAGCAGCTGTCATTGGGTTATAGCACTGCTTTGAGTCATCTGAATGCCCCAGAAATTTGAATCCCTGAAATTGAATTAAGATGATCCAGGTTTCCATTGCCTGGCAGTAGCATCAGAAAATCCTCACAGGATGAAGACAATATACTAGCTCTCAAATTATTTCTACACATTCTCTTTCAAATACAATTTCTGTTATATAAAAATAATTGGGCATATAAGAATGTAAAACAGCATAAAAAGAATCAGCTGATGAAAGACAATAAAATATATCCACAAAGGCCATATATTAGAATTGTCAGACAAAAAACTATTGAAAAACAATTTTTACTTTATGCTTAAGGAGAATAAAAATAGAATATTGAAAATTTTAGTATAAATCATATTAGTAAATTAAAATTTTGCTACAAATATAAAATTTCAAAGTAAAATAAGGAACAACTTCTATCTGAAAATGAACCAGAGAAATTTAGAAATGGAAAAATATAATAAATGAAATTAAGAATTCTATGAGTAGGTTCAATAGCAATATTTACATAGCTGAGAAGAGAATTAATGAACTAGAAATAATCCCGAAGTAAATATCTAGGATGAAGATATAGAAAGACAAAAAGACGAAAACTAAAGAGAGTTTAACAGACATAGTGTATACAGTAAAAAGTTCCAAGTCATTTTAAATTAGAATCATAGAGCAGAGGGAATGGGGAAGAAGCAATATTTAGAGATGAAAGACATCACTCTGCAGATATGCAGAAAATAAAAAGGTACAATCTAGAGTAGCATTGTCCAGCAGAACTTTGTGCAATAATGGCAATGTTCCATTCTACCCAATCCAGTGTGGTGGCTGCTAGTCCCATGCGGCTATGGAGCACTTGAAATGTGGCTAGTGCAACAGAGGAACTAAATTTTAATTTAATTTAGATTAACTGAAATTTAAATTTGAATTACCACATATGGCTAGTGGCTATTGTAGTGGACAGTAAAGATCTGGAGCATCATAGTAAAACTACGGAAGAACAAAGATAAAGATAAAAATATTTAAAGAAATCAGAGAAAAGTCAGTCCAAAAGATAGCAATTACATAGCTGAATTCTCTGCATCAGCAATGGAAACCAGAAAACAGTAAAATGTGCCAAAACAAAATAACTGCAAACCTAGAATTCTATATCTAATAACAATATCCCTCAACAATGGAGGTAAATTCTGCTATGTACTGAGTTTAACACAAAGCATTATTGGAGAAGAATTTGCATATTGGCTTTGAAACATTTGAGATAAGAGTTGTTGCTGGTTTTTCTGTATTCTGAGAAGTTATCTTTTCAATGTGCCTTCTTTCACTCAAGCAAGGATTTATTGCTCTCTGTACACACCACTGTTGTAGTACTTACAGAATCATGTTTTATGCTCTGGTCTATGTTTGTTTCTCTTATTTGGCTGTCACTTCTCCATAAAGATATGAACATAAACAACTAATAATTGTATTCCAGGGGTTATGTAAAAGCACATAATTTTAAAACTAAAGCTGATGAGTGAGATTTATTTCACAGCCACTTCATCTGGAAAATGTTAGAGACAAGCATCCAAAACATTTAGAATATCCTCAAATATTGTATGATGGCTAAACTATATTATCAGGCGTCCCCAAACTTTTTACACAGGGGGCCAGTTCACTGTCCCTCAGACCGTTGGAGGGCCACCACATACTGTGCTCCTCTCACTGACCACCAATGAAAGAGGTGCCCCTTCCGAAGTGCGGCGGGGTGGGGGGCAGGATAAATGGCCTCAGGGGGCCGCATGCGGCCCGGGGGCCCTAGTTTGGGGATGCCTGCTACATTATTTTAGAAAATACCATGCTGCCTTAGAACGATTTCGGCATTGAACTAATTCATCTATTAAATAAATTTAATCCCAGAGAGATTAGATCATTTGACCAAGGTCCCACAAATAACAGGAATCAGTACCAGAATCCAAGTCTTCTAATTCCATGTGTTTTTCTATGCCATGATATCTCAGAATTAAGATTCTTTCTGCTTACATTGGGCCCAGTAATACTATATCTCTTCTTAACCATTTTTAAGTTTAGTAATTGTCAGCTTTTAAAAATCAGCCTCTAGTCTTTACCATATTATGATGAAATATTTACCTGAGAATCAGAGACCTCAATTATTATTTCAGTTCTATTATCATTAAGCTGAGAGTCTTGGAGAATACCACTTGTCTATTCAAAAAAGTAAGACATTCCACAAAATAAGCTATATAAAATGAATAGATAGTCTAAGAGAAGTCTGAATTTAATTGTTATTCTTCATTCCTCTCATTCTATTTCAAATATTTTGAATTACTTTCTGTTCCATATTTCATTCACTCCCCTATGTAGATGTAAGTAAACATGTCACAGAGATAGTTCAGTCAGTTGCTCCTACTAGTTACCATCATTGAATAGTTTTTAGTAAGTGTTGTCTAGGAGTGAAAACAATACAGCCAATTAAAGAAACTAACTAACTAACACATCTTTTTGTTTCATATTGGCAGGCTGATTGGTTCTAAAGAATGGAGAACCATCATTAATTAAGGGAGAGAATGGGAGGGTATATGCTTGTGACATGTATGTTACATATCTGCCTAGGTGTATTTTATATTGCTTAATGAATTTCTTAATTGAATCATTTTAAAAGTATAGAATAGTCTTAAAATATTAGAGAATTATTAATCTTGGGTAAACTGAATCTAGGATAAAAAAATAATAAAAATTCAACTCAAATATACTCTTTCTGTACTCCCTACTCCCATATCCTCAGGCCAAACTGGCCAGGAATTGGATGCCTCTAGGCACAAAGCAGGTTGAACAGCTGTTTGACTCACTGCATTTGAGTCCTTGTCATTTGGCAGATTGAGATCTCTGCTGAGAGCACCATTTGGAATGTTTCTCCCCAAAACTGGTATTTTTGAGCATGTAATTTGAAATATAGTGAAGCACTGGTATACATTAAAATAATAATAGTGCCTAATGAGAGTCTGACAGATTTATGTCAAAAAGCTAATTTGCTGTAGAAGTGTTTAGAGATAACCCTGGATTAGCTGGGCTGGGCATGATAGAATGTGAATAGGGGTTTTCTAAAAACGTGAATATAAAAGATGACACTGGCTTCAGATGTGTGGACTATTGGGGAGAGAATATTAGACATGAATATCAATGGAGATGTACATAATTAGGTAGGATGGAAGGAGGTAGGTCACATATACTAAAGAGACACAAATTAGGGAAATATCCTAAAGAGGTATTGAAGAATCCAAGAAGCTTACTAAGTCAAAGTTTGGGTATTCGAGAGAAGACTAATAATAAAAATAATAGTAGTAATGGTCATTATTTCCTTAATGGCAGCAAAACAATAAAAATAGCACTTATCGAGTACTTGGTGTGCATTTCAGCATTGTTCTAATGCTTTAAATATAATAATGCATTTAATCTTCTTGACAATTATATGAGGTAAGAGCTATTATCAGTATTCCTGATTTACAGGCGATGAAACTGAGGTACAGAGAATTTAAGTAACTGGATCAAGAACATATAACTAGGCTGGAAAATAGAAAACACACACACACACACACACACAAACACACACACACACAAACCAACACACAACTAATAAGAACTGAAGCCATAGTTAGAATACGTGGCTTAAAATCAATGAATGAATCTAAACTCTTAAGCACAGGATGAAAGACACTGGAGAAGTGGAACATATTTGAATTCAGCATATAAACTAGCTTGCACATCACTGAGAACCTAAGATTCCCTGCACATTACCATTCCACAAAGCCTGACCCAGGGAAGAAACCCCACTGTAGCCCTATGTGGTGACAGCAAGAATACATCAAAAGATGGAAAGAATTACTTTTCATTCGAGTCTTTCATGTGGATTACATTTCTTCACAAATTCATTTCTTTTGTCTCCATCTTCAGACCAGAGGACACACAAATGTAGGGCCACCTTTAAGGTCTCCAATCCTTCTCTAATCATTAGCAATCCTCATTGTGGAGAAAGTCTCTTTATATGTAAAATTAATCATTGACTTTCCCGCTTAAACCTATTTCCTCTTCTCTGATCTTTATTGGAGATGGGAGACACATGAAGGTAGTTAAAATTCTAATCACCTAGGGTTTTCCTTTTTTATTTAATAACTCATTTAAATGTACTTTTGCCAAGTCTTATTTTAAAATCTCCCTGACATTAATTACTGATATATATTCAGGTCTTTTTGACAGGCCTATTTCACCTTAAATGTGCTTAAATAGTGAGTTTTCTCATCTTACCTCTCCATTTTCTAAGGGGTGTATCTTGGAGTAAAATGAAGTGCAGATGACCTCATCGTCTTTGGCATATGACGGTGGCCCAGTGCGAGGATAAATATTGTAAAGGGTTAGGCACTCTGTGTCTGTCACAGCATGATACTGCCAGGGCTTGTATTCAACATCATCAAGAGAGCGTTCCAAAATCCAGTTTCCAGGCCGTGGGGAGTTAGCTGCCTTCACAATCACATACGCGATCTGGAACACCTAGGGAGGAATAACAACAACAATAACGCTGAATTCCCAAATATTCTCATCATTTTATGCCAAATTTAAGTCTAAATGCTACAGTAGATTTAATTTCAGATCTTATTCTATAATCCTATAATGTTCTATTACAGGTTCATATTTAATAACTTTTTTGCTAGGAAGTGATGTTTGGTTTTGACAACTATGGGTTTAAAATAAATGGATTAAGACTGGTTTTGGGTTTTATAACAACTCATTGGCAACATTTTATATCATTTTTAAAGTTCCATTACAATCATTACTACCCAGAGCATTTATTAATATTACATACCAGTTTACTTACCTTATTATGTTAAAGACTATAAAATACAAGTTAGAAATTCCCAGTGTGAATAGTGCCTGACAGTTTAGAAAACACATTTATTTATATCGCATAATCCTCAAAAAAGTGCCATTTGGATGGAGTTAGTATGGTACAGCAAAAACAATATAAACACATTCCTATGTTCAGATTGTGGTTCTAGAATTGTGGCAATAAAGCCTCAATAAATGTCCATTCCTCTACATCCCCAAAATAGAAAGCAATGGGGGAGAAATTTCAGTGTTATGAAGACAACTGATCGAACCTGAAACATACTAAATGAAGGGTTTCTGTACATTCTCTTTACAAAAAGTAAATGCGCAAGAAAAGGGGTGAAATCAAGAGGTGTTAGTCAACAGAGTGACAATGGAGAGGAATGTGACAATGCTCTATGTACACATTCGAATAGAATTTGAAGATGTAAAACAAGAAATATTCTATATTTCTTGAGGTAGTGTGTATCTGTGTCTTTACCAATATAGTTCAAAATATAGTGCAGAAACATTATTGAATGACATTTATGTACAATGTTCTAGGTAGAAAGACAAATAAAATTAGTTTGAATTACTATCCCATTATCAATGGGTTATTAATACATTGTAATAATGAGACATATGAAAAGGGCTATATTCGTAAAACATTATGTTATGTTCTTGACTAGTAAATGCTGTGAAGTATGAGAGCTTGGCAGCCCTAAGCTCTAAGTGGATGGGGTCACTGGAGGGGCACAATTGGGAGGGCAGGCTTACTGCAATGTGATTAACAGGCCTGCTGAGCTGCAGAGAGAATCCTCAAAGGGATGCTCTAGAAATGAGATTTCTATTTTTAGGTCCTTGAGGAATCGCCACACTGTCTTCCACAATGGTTGAATTAATTTACATTCCCACCAACAGTGTAAAAGTGTTCCTATTTCTCCACATCCTCTCCAGCATCTGTTGTTTCCCGATTTTTTAATGATCGCCATTCTAACTGGTGTGAGATGGTATCTCAATGTGGTTTTGATTTGCATTTCTCTGATGACCAGTGATGATGAGCATTTTTTCATATGTTTGTTGGCCTCCTGTATGTCTTCTTTTGTAAAGTATCTGTTCATATCCTTCGCCTATTTTTGAATGGGCTTGTTTGTTTTTTTCTTGTAGATCTGCTTTAGTTCAAGCAATCCCATTACTGGGTATATATCCAAAGGATTATAAATCATTCTACTACAAGGACACGTGCACACGAATGTTCATTGCAGCACTGTTTACAATAGCAAAGACCTGGAACCAACCCAAATGCCCAACGATGATAGACTGGATAGGGTAAATGTGGTACATATACACCATGGAATATTATGCAGCCATCAAAAACGATGAGTTCACGTCCTTTGTAGGGACATGGATGAACCTGGAAACCATCATTCTCAGCAAACTGACACAAGAGCAGAAAATCAAACACCGTATATTCTCCAAAATGCCTCCTCTTCACTGAGACCATCTGATTGACAACAGCATAGCAAGGACAGCCAAAATATTTGTTCTGAGGGGTTCTGCATTTGAGCATTCCATTGTATTGAGTATCGTGCAGGTGGAAATACTGATGAATTTATATTTACAACAGCTTATAGATAAGCATAACTGCAGATAGACATACATACCTATGTATGTGCCTGTAACTGCTTGAATATGCCAAGACATTTTGGGAGAGGAAGTATGTGAACATATGAAAGCTGCTACCTTTAGGAGTCAAGGAAAAATTAGGACTTTTATTTTCTATTCTGTATTCTGCTATATTTTTCATATGAACACAAATGTTTTACTTTTAAATAAAATTATCTTTAAAATAAAGACAAAGTAAAATAAGTCACAGAGAAAGGGCAAAAGTGGGAGCAAAATAGAAATAGATGTTACATCAACCATTATAAAAAATATTTGCTACTTATGCATTTTTAGGTATTATTCATAAGGAATGGTTTTTTAGACAGCTCATATTGAACAACTCATCACATAGAATTTCTTTATATAGAAATTCACCAAGAAACATACAAATTGATTAATCTTATAAAACGCACAGATAGAGTTGTCTCTACTATAAAATATGAAACGTCCCATGTTCAAGCAATTATTCTGCCTCAGCCTCCCAAATAGCTGAGATTACAGGCATGTGCCATTGCACCCAGCTAATTTTGTGTGTGTGTGTGTGTGTGTGTGTGTGTGTGTGTGTGTGTGTGTGTGTTAGTAGACATAGGGTTTCGCCATGTTGGTCAGGCTGGTATCCAACTCCTAACCTCAGGTGATCTACCTGCCTCAGCCTCCCAAAATGCTGGGATTACAGACGTGAGCCACCACACCTGGCCAGCTTTTACATCTTTAAACCATTTCCCACTAGAAAAAAAAAGTACAGCTCGCTTCCAGCTTTCATTTAATTTTACACGAACACGTTCTTAGAAGCTGAAGCAAATCTAACTGATTTTCAAGGTGAAAATAAAATATAAAACTGTTCTTAGCTATTTCTAAACAAAACTTATCTCTAATTCTAATGTAACAGAAATGTATGTGATGAGAATTTACTAATATTTTTATGTAGAATGCTACATTTTCCAGGATCCGACATTTTTTTCAGCAATCAAGAATTACTATTATTTGTATATGGAAATAGTACTGCCAAAACAGAATGCTATAAATAGAATGATGTCTTTTGTTTCCAAAGTCAATATACTAGAGCAATGCAAAAAATAATAATAAAAGTGAACTATGTCACGGCAAACTTTGGGGATAAGGTTAGAACAGTAATCCACAAGTGATCTTGGGGTAAACGCTGTAGCCCCAAGTGCTGCCAGAGAGTATTCTTGGAGCAAACAAGAAATGTGTTAAAGATGCTATATGCCTTATTATAATTATTCTGAAATGGTGGGCATTTGATATTGATTACATTTAGTTGAATAGCCAAAATCACTGTAATGTGCTTCCATGTTACGGTTATGAGTTTAACACTGGGCTTTTCTGTTTGTTAGAGCCTGAATCCCAGTTAGTATTATTTTGTAACCTGAAGGAACTAAGGCATACATTCCTGGAGTGTTTCTCCTATTAGATCTCTGTCAGCTGAGAAAATTACTTAAACTCTTTTACCCTCTGTTGTCCATTGTTTCTTTTCTAAAGACACAACCAGGCAAGAGATAATGAGATAATGAATACAAAATACTGCAGGCTCTTGTGAAAGAATCTATATAAATATTTCAAGTGAGGCTGTTTCCTTCCAGTAGAAAAAAACATAAAACATAGAGATATTTTTTAAAGATATAAAATAAAAAGAGAGATAACAAAGCATATTAGAAATCACAGGTATTTAATAAGAAAAATAAGACTACACTAAGGTTATGGATAAAGAACTTTGCTTAGAAAGCACTCAGCATGCAAATATGAAACAAGACCAAGTTCTCATGCAGCTACAATATGGATTTATGACTTCATAGCTCCTGTGTTGGCTCTGGAATAATAGATAAAAAAATAACCCATGAAGAGAAGTTCTACTAGACACCCCACAGACTCATTCTATAATTCAACATAAGAGCCAGCAGTAAGTGACATGGAAAAGCAGTCACTGCCTTAGAGAACATTGAATGAGTCCTATTTCAAAACAATATCCCTCTTTCATTTATTTTCTATGGGTTCTTTCACATTCCATGCAAAATTAATTAAATTTGTTGGCACGGAATTTCCTTTGGACTTCTTAAACGACTTGAAAGTCATGTAGTTTTTTTAGTAACTTTAAAATACAGTAAATAGCCTTATTAAAAATGTAATAAATAGCAGTATTCTTAGCAGGCTTTAGAGAATAACTGTAAAAATTTTAACAGTGACTTTCTAAGTACTGTACTCCAAATATTTAACAGCCCTAATAAAATAACTCTCTAATGTTATCTATCCCACTTTTATTAACTGTGTCTTGTTTTCATTATAAAGACTCTTCAAAATCAGTAGTTATAATACCTCATTTCCAAACGATTAACCCCCAACCCCAATCTGTTCTCGTGTGCAGCAAGAAAAGCAAATACCCTATTTATAAGTATTAAAATGCTACGACTGCTAGGGTTTGAGGAACCTAAGATAACATCTCATGATACCCAAGTATTTTTTTCTGTTGAAGGGCACTCGTTACAAACTTGATGTCTTTAAAAGAATCCCAAATAACTTTAAAAACAAGTGTTTGACAATTTATGTAACAAAGGGAACTTTCTATTTCATATTCCATTTGTTACTCATTTGCATGTCATCTAACAAAAATATCATTTAATTACTGATGTAGCATTGAATTAGATGTTTCTTCTATAAAAAGAAGAGTATTAAGAACTTGATCTCATTTAGTGTGGAAAGGGAGAATAGGGTCTTTCTAAAGAATCCTTTAGTCTTAAAATAATAAGCAATGTACAATGATCATCCCATAGAGTTATGCTTTCTAATCTTTTTAATATCATGGCTAAAGTAAAATAATATTTGTACAGCACTGGGGTTTTTTACCAGTGCTTAGGAACCCTCATAGCCTGAAGTGAACAGCCCAGGAATTCTGGTTACTCTAGACCCGGCCCTGCAGCTGAATATCTTAGCTCATCTATACCTACGTCAGTAAGTCTGAAAACAAGAAGCAGTTTCTAGTACATGCATTGCTAGGTCTTGATTTA